TTTCTTAAAATAAACGCAGGTATCATAGGTGCACCTGCTGAATTTGTGACTGGTCATGAAAGAATCGAACCTCTTGTACCATTGTCTAGGAGACTGCTTGAGGCCATAAAGAGATTTGTTCAACTTGCATACGTAGTTCTCCTTTCCAGGAACTACAAAACCTTCAGGTTGTTGCATAAAAATCTCTTCCTCAAGCTCACCATTTAGGAAAGCTGTAGTGACATCAAGTTGTTCTAACTCAAAATCGTTAGAAGCAACCAACCCCAACAACACACGAATGGAAGTATGTTTGACAACTGGGGAATAAATGTCAGTGTAATCAATACCAGGAATCTGACTGTAGCCTTTAGCTACTAACCGAGCTTTGTATCTTGGTTTATCATTTGGATTGACAGGTTCCTTGAGCTTGTAGACCCACTTGCATTTAACTGGTCTCTTCCCTTTCGGAATAGGAACTAAATTCCAAGTATTGTTTCGCTGCAAGGATTCCATCTCATTTTGCATAGCGAGCATCCAATCATTTGAGTCTTCAGATTTGATAGCCTCGTCATAATTTGCAGGCTCCGTTGCAGACTCAATATTATCAGCAACAATAAAATCATAGGCAACCAAATCAGATTCAGCATACCTCTTCGGAGGAATAATCTGTCTTCTCGGTCTATCTCTTGCAATGCTTGGAGTAGTAGCTTGTGGTTGTGAAGGTGTTGAATCTTCACCAACAACATGCTCATCCGACGAAGAAGAATCTTGATGCTGATTTGTACTCTGATTAGTGGTAGGTGAAGTAGGAAGCTCCACTTCCATTTGAGCATTCTCTTTATTTGCTTCGGATGATACATCTGATGCATCTGTTCTTTTAGAAGAGTCAGCAACTGGTTGAATTATAGCAGACTCATCAAAAGTAACATCTCTTGAGATGATAATTTTCTTCAAATCAAAGCTCCATAACTTGTAACCCTTTACACCTTGATTGTACCCAAGAAAAACGCATTTGATTGCTCTTGGTTCTAGCTTCCCATTGTCAACTCGTGCATACGCTGGACATCCGAATGGTTTTAAATCTAAATAATTTGCAGGTTTACCGGACCATAATTCAAACGGAGTTTTCTTCTCGATTGCTTGTGACGGTGATCGGTTGATAACATAGCAAGCAATCGAAGCAGCCTCCGCCCAAAAAGACTTTGGCAATTTGGAATTAGAAAGCATACACCGGACCTTCTCCATAATGGTGCGATTCATCCTTTCAGCTACACCATTTTGTTGAGGTGAATGGACTACTGTGCGATGTCGAGTAATGCCTTCCTTTCGACAATAGACATTAAACTCTTCTAAGCAAAACTCAAGTCCATTATCCGTACGAAGATACTTTACCACCAGACCTGATTGCTTTTCAACCTGAACTTTCCAATTTCTGAAGGTAGAGAAAACGTCTCCTTTATTTTTTAAGAAGAAAGACCACACCTTCCTGGAGAAATCATCAATAATAGTGAGCATATAAATAGCTCCACCTTTTGAAGCAACTCGAGCCGGTCCCCACAAATCCGAGTTAACATAATCAAGTGGTCCTTTCGTTGTATGGATACCACTTGCAAACCTCACTCGTTTTGCCTTTCCATATACACAGTCTTCACAGAAATCCAAATCAACAATCTTTTGTTGACCAAGTAAACCTCTTCGACTCAATTCTGACATGCCTTGAAAACTCATATGGCCGAGTCGAAGGTGCCAAAGACGGGACTGATCTGGATCAGAAAAAGACTTTGACACAACAACAGCATCACTCGAAATTATTTGCCCGTCAAGAAAGTAAAGATCTGAGGTTTTTCGTTCGGCTCTCAGTTTGTCGGAACCGTCTTTGAATACCCTGAGAACTCCACCTTTACCAGCAAACTCGTATCCCTTTTTGTCAAAGGAACTGAGAGATAACAAGTTTCTTCTGAGGTCAGGAACATATCTAACATCCCCCATGGTTCGAATAACTCCGTCAAACATACGGATCCTGACTGAACCATGTCCAAGAACTGGACATGTAGTATTGTTACCCATCAACACATAGCCCTGGTTAACCTTTTCAAATGTGTAAAACCAACTTTTGTTGTGACACATATGAAAAGTACAACCAGAGTCGAGTATCCAATCACCAGTGGAATCCAGTTTATCTGAATAAACTGTCAAAAGTTCTCCAATACCTTCGACCTCAGCTAGATCGGCTTCACCCGAAGTGCTAGCTTGTTTACCATTTGTTGCCGTCTTCTCTTTTTCTTTGTTCTTCAACTTGAAGCATTCTTCAAGCACATGTCCCTTCTTGTGACAATAGTTGCAAAACTTTCGTTTGCCTTTTGACTTGGATCTGGTTCTGTTGGAAGATTGAGAAGTTCTACTTCTCTCTGTTGTTCTTCCTCTGGCATTCAAACCTTCGGCTTTGGCATCACTTGAACCACCACCAGTAATATGCTTCATCTTCTCTTTGGAATCCAAAGCTGTATAGACTTCATCTAAAACTAGAGTGTCACAGCTATAGATAATAGTATCACGAAAATGGCTATAGGATTCTGGCAACGACGATAGTAAGAATAGAGCCAAGTCTTCATCTTCATACTGAACATCCATATTCTCTAAGTTATTTACTAACTCTTTAAATGTGGATATATGTTCAGCTAAAGAGCCTCCTTCAATCATCTTGAGATTGAACAACCGTTGCTTCAAATGCAACTTGTTTGGTAAGCTCTTGGTCATCAACAGTTGCTCCAACTTTAGCCATAAAGAAGCCGCTGACGTTTCTTTTAGAACATCTTGCAAAACATCGTTTGACAAGTGCAAACGAATCTGGGATAAAGCCTTCAGATCTTTCATCTCCTTTTCTTCTTCGGTCCATGTATCGGGCATCATATTGAAACCCAAGAGCGCCTTGTGTAAATCCATCTGAATAAGAATGTCTCTCATCTTTACTTGCCACAACGGAAATCGGGTGTTACGATCCAGTAGTGGAATATCGTATTTTACCGAAGACATGATTAATTACTTGATAAAATGATCCCAACGAGCTAATATCACAACTTGGATGCTCTGATACCAATTGTTGTAAAATACGACGGATCCAAATTGACTTAAATAATATTAGCTCAATGCGGAATGGGATCAAAAATTATCAAAGCGTAATAATCACAACGAAATACGAATAAAATAAATAGAATAGAGACACAGGAATTTACGTGGAAACCCAAATCGGGAAAAAACCACGGGCGGAGGAAGCCGAGAAACAATTCACTGTAATTTGCAGTGTTTACAGGGATTATGAAAGAGATTACAAATAGAGTGGGAGAGCTAAAATATACGGTGGTGTATATATATATATATATATATATATATATATATATATATATATATATATATATATTTGATTTGGTTCGTGGGTTATTTTTTTTCAAACCTTCTGGCTTAGGCTATTTATAGCCAAAGGAGAACATATGAAAAGGAAAGAAAAAAAAAACCGTCCATAATTGTAGGCGAAGAAGAAGTTAGGCGCCCCACATGTAACTCACCGTCCATTCTCATTTTCAATTTCACACTTATATTACTATTCATAGTCAAACTATGAATAGTAAATGATAAGTTACAGAAATAACCCATGAACTATTTGTCACTTGTTAATTTTGGAGGCAACTTTTCCACACAAAAGATAAAATGAGAAAAAAGAATTAATAAATTGACAATCATAGGAGGAAAAAATAGGAATCCGTTAAATTTTTCTTTCCAAAACTTACATTTCACAAACAAGGATATTTTTACACTTATCTCCGTTTACTGTATTATCCACCTTAGGGGCGGGACAGTAAACCCTAGGTTCCCACTTAAAATAAACCACTTGGTCGGTGCGAATGTATGATGGGTAAGTTTCTACTTCATAAACCTCCATGTTTTTTAATTCTTTGGAAGTCGTTTGGGAAATATATTTTGTTTGAAAGCTGTTATTTAGGATTTTATTTTTCTCATTCGATTAGGAAATCGTAAACCCTATTTTTGGGTAGTCGTTGTCAATCATCACGTATCATGGAAACAGAAATCAGTAGAATGTCTATTATGTGATCACGTAAATTGTTTTTAAGTTAGGTTTTGCTAGGGAAACCCATTGATGCAACTAGAAGCTTGAGTATAGACCAAAATATAAAGCCATTTAAGTTAGTGGGATGAGTGAAAACTTTCACACGCACGTATCTTAGTTCAGCTTGTTTGGCATATTCCATCACTACATTCCTTGTGTCATCAAACTCATGCTCTGTGTATGACCTCTACTTTTGCTTTTGGATAACCGATAATGCTCTATAGAATAACCTTGTTGCTCAACTACTAACTGTCTTTCACTTTGATGCTCGTCTCCTTTGATAGCTTCCGAAAACGCATTGTTTTCTCTACAGATTTCCCTTTGATATTCCATGGACCTCTTTTAAAGACACTTGGATTATTATCTATTAAGGTTATAATATGTGAGTCACATTTACCGTTTCTTTCTCATGAGCAATGCTACCACACCCAAAAGCTTCATTGATAATGAAAGGATATTAAGAAGAGGATTAGAAGGGTCAAGTTGCTCCATGTTCTTATTGCATTCCATTTCATGTTAATATAACTTGGTTCCATTTTCTTTTCTGAATTTAATAATAGAGAGAAATAAAAGAAGGGTTGTAAGTTGTGTTGAGGAAGATAGAATCAGTAACTTGCCAGAACACTTGATAGACTCAATCTTAGAGCAGCTCCCGATTGATGCTGCTGTAAGGACAAGCATTATATCAGCAAGTTGGAGGTACAAATGGACTAAAATGAGGGTGCTTATTTTTGATGAGCAGTTTTTCAAAAAATATGAAAAAAACAGAGCTTTTGGTCATAAAGGGTTTACAAGGATCATAAACAAAGTTTTGATCATTCACCAGGGCCCTATCTTGAAATTTCACCTCCATATACCAAGTATTTTTCTTAATACCTTCGAAGAAGTCGACCAATGGATGCTACTCTTATCAAGAAGCGGTGTCAGGGAACTCATTCTTACTAATTCAAATCGTCGTTGTAAACTTCCTTCTTATGTGTTTTCTTGTCTAGAATTGACAAAGTTGGAACTGAAACACTGTCTCTTTAAGCCACCACTTAAGTTTAAAGGATTTCTCAACCTTGAAGATCTTTCTCTCGAACATATCAATTTTGAGGTTAACTTGGGTGGAACTCAGATCATCTTACCACATCTTAAGAATTTGTCCCTTGTTATGTGCACAAAGGTATACAATTTCAACATCAAGGCTACAAAACTGTTCAACTTGACTATCACCGCAGCTTGTCCTGATGCCATGTTGCTCCGATTATTACACAGTCCATGCCTTACTCTGGTTAGTATATATTTTGGGAAACCCATCATAGAAGGAAAGAGACAAGTTGAAACAATAACATCAGCCATGATGTTAAGTAACCTTACAAAAGTTGAAGGTTTTCTTATCGCTGGTCACTTTCTCAAGGTATAACTCTCACATCTTTTTTTAAGCCTCGAAAGGAGTTTGCACAAAGGAGTATTACCTTTTTGTTATGTAATTCATATTTCATTTAATCTAACTTTCACCTCATAGATTATTACCGCAGAAAATACTCCAAAGTGGCTTGCACGTCCATTTAATAGTTTAAACCGATTGCACTTCCATGAATTTCAACTTGGTAATTTGGATCAGCTTCATGGTGCGCTTTGTTTGCTACGTAACTCACCGAATCTAAAAGAACTGCATGTGATGCACTTGAAAATGGTAAAGGGTGCTAAAAAGAATATTTATATTGCTTATCTTATACAAGTGTTACATTTTTATGTTTTCTTTTCAGGAGCCTCAAGTTGACGTGGGACCTGCTTCAAATCATTTGGAATCCCCAAACTGCTTGGATTGTACATTGGATCAGTTGCAGACTGTTGAGATAACATATTTAGAAAGATCAAAACCGGAACTGCTTTTTATAAAACTTCTTCTTGCTCATTCCCCTTCTCTCGACAAGTTAACTATAACACCAAGTGGAGCTCTTGATGCTGAAAAAATACTTGACATTGCTAAGGATGTTATGTGGTTCCCTCGAGCCTCACCGAAAGCAAAAATATTATACTTGAACCTGGAGACATAATTCGGTAGTAAGGATGTTCAACTACATTGCAATTTAGTTTAATTTATATTTTCGTTGTTAAAACTCCAAGTATATTCGACTTTTTTGTTTGTATTTTGGTCGGTTTAAGTTTTTGTATCTTTACTTTTGCTTTTGTGTGGTGTGGGTTAATAATTGTAAAAATTTTGTATGATGGAGATTTGCGATTTTGAATGAAAGGTAAGGTTTACAACTTAAGACTTTAACAAAAAGTTTTGACCAATGTTGATTTTGACATACTAGTCGAAAAACTAAGTTAATAGCTGATAAAGTGATAGCGTTTTATGTAAACTAGTTGAAAAGTAAGGTAATAGCTGATAAAGTGATAGCGTTTTATGTAAACTAGTTGAAAAGTTAGATGAAAAATACACAATGATATAAAAGAATATATAATGGTATATAGAGAGAAATTAGCATGTAAGATTATATTTAGAAAATTTGAGGAAAAAACTCATGAGCATTTCAATAAACTATCTCAAATAGCTTTTTACAGAGCTCGTGTATAAGCTATATTAATGGTCTCACCAAACACACCCTAAATAGTGTTTAGTTTACTTAATGACACAATATGGAATGTTGGTCAATAGTAGTGTGTATTCCACTATTCATATTGACTTATACTTGTTTAATATACACTCTAATAAATGAATGTTTTTTTTTTTTTGACATTTTTCATACTCTCATTTAATGTGAAATGTCATTTTGTGGTTATTTTGAATTAATTTTTCTCCACATGTCATTTTATGAGTTTTTTATTTTATTAAATTCTACATAATATTTTAATGTAATAATTGCAATAAATGTAGTAATAAGTAGATATCAATTTCATTAATGAACTTATCTTTAAATTTCAAAATTCCTAAAATTAAGTTCATTAGTTTCTTTTGTTTATTTATTTAAATTATTTGTTTAAATTTAAAACATAAAAAACATTTTCATTATAATAATTCATTATTTTTTTATAAATTCAAAGTTTTCAAATATTTTGATACTTATATTTAATATTTTCTTTTTTAAATTAACCCATGTAATACATGGGTCTCACAACTAGTTGGGAAATAATTATCGCAATCCAAAATCTCCTAAAAGTTAAGACTAATTTGTGTCGAACAATTATATCATAATTTCACTCCTCAGCCTCCTTCACTAAATATCTTCAAGGTATGAAGAGCTTTTTATTATTATTATTATTTTTGTAAAGAATGATGTTATAATTGTGTAGATTTGTCAAAGTATAATGATGTAGGGAAAAATGAAAACAAGTAGCCATAATAGACGATGAATATACTTTGGTGTTTCTTGCATTTAGCCCTTATTTAGAGTTTCACTTTTGCTTCATGTATTTTTAATGCACATGTGGAAACAAGCCTCCTAATGTAGTTATAAGTTTATAGTCTTTGTGGTGAGAGACATGTGAAAATGGGAAGTTACAAAGTGTTGCTACGAGTTCTGTTTTTAGTTGCGTAGTAGGTAGTAGAGAAGAGTTTAATTTTTCATAAAAAGATTGATCTTACTTGGCACTTTAGTCAATTTTACCCCATGGCAAACAAATCAATGGAAAAAAACAAAGATAATTTGACTTTGCTTACAACAATGCAAGTATAAAGCTAGTTTGCATAAAACCATAGAAATGCAATTTAAGTACGCTTACAACAACGAAAGTATAAATCTAATATGTGATGTAGTTGGACATTCTTATTAGATTTTGGTTGGGATTCAAGTATAGTAGTAGACCATTCAAAAAAATTATGGTTAGAAGGCGACAAGCTCCTTCTTTGTAGCAAAAGAGATTTATAAACTCGGATCACTATGTTACCCGTTAAGCAACATGCTAATTTCATTACTGCAAAAGGACACAATAACTGAAGGTACACAAAAGACCGACATGTCAGGATTTTTCAGAACCGACTAGGTTGGGCTTGTGTTGGTGATTTGTTATCATCAATGTTATTTAAGTGTAATGAGATTACTTTTGGTGACCAAAAGTGATCTTGATAAATATTAAACAAGTAAGGAAGGTGTGGAGTACACACTTGTGTAAGTTTGATCAAGTATGAAAGTACATTGTCATTTAGGGGAGAAGCCCCTGAACGAACGTGGGTCCGGGGGGCAGCGCCTTTGGGAGCGGGGTCCAAGGGGCAGACCCCCTGTGAGAATTGACCCATTATGTTACTATATAAAAAATGCATTAGAAATCCGGTTTTTTAGAGAATTGACCCATTTTGACTTTTATTCAAAATACCCGTTTTTATGACCGTTTTGGTGGTTTGTGACAGTTTTAAACTGTCATATGACAGTTTTCAGACAAGGATCTAAAAGTCAGTTTTGGTCTCTTTTTCTGGTACTCACGAAATTATACACTCTCATTCTCTTTCTTTCTCTCTGATTCTCTCTGAGTCTTATCCAATTGAGGATTTGGGAGTATCACCAAAATACTTCGATTTGAAAGTGATAGTCACGGTTCTCAGATTTCCAAGTGCCATTAAACCCATATTTCTAACAGCTTGGACCGGGAGTTTTTTTAGCTTCAGAGGAGTTCGATTTAGACCATAGGATCACAGACTAAAATTTCAGACTATGGATTGTGGTTCTTTGCCCCTACCTTGTTGAAGAGTAGTGTATATGCCTTGCATGAAGTTTATAAGGCTAATCTCTTAAAATAATGTTGATTTAAGATGATTGATATTATGTTGATTATTGATGAGGTTTTAAATAGATTCACTTGTATTCGTCAAATGTGAAATCTATGTTTTGCATCGTGCTTCTAGGATTAATTTCCTAAATTAGAAACCAATTTCATTTCTTTATAGTTGATAGAAAGATGTTTTATTTTTTATATATAATTGTAACTTACTTTCAAAAATCACATCTATAGATTGCAAAAAGCAGTCCAACTAGTCAACCCACCCTAAACCCAATAAAAATTTAACATGTTGGTGAGATTTCTAACCTATTTACATAAGTATTCAATCATCTAATCCATTTAATCAACGGATTAAGAGGGTGTTTAAGATTACTTTTTAAGCTTTTTTTTGTAAAAGTTCTTTTTGACTTTAACTTTTGATGAGGCAAAAGCCAAAAGGTTATTTTAAAAAAGTGTTTGGGTTGTATTTATGGACTTTTGAGTGTAATTTAACTTTTAAAATGCTAAAAGTCACAAAAAAGTTATATTTTCTTGACTTTTAAAAACTCAACTTTTTCTTCTTTATAAAAAATTAATTTGAAAAGAACTTTTGTATTTTCCAAACATCTTTTGACATTTTTTTTTGACTTTTTGGAAAAGTTAAAAGTCAAAAAGTCATTTAAAAATAATCCTAAACACCCTATAAGTGAATATACATTTTGAACTTTATTTTAACCCATTAACATGATTAAATATAATGTTTAATTTTCTTGTATATTTAATTCAATATCATAGTTTAAGCATATCATATTTAATACATAAAAACAATTACTTAATTCTAAATTCTTAAATTTATAATATCACTTCCCTGTAAAGAAAAGTAATATTTAACTAAATCTCCAATCCCAATCATCAATTATTTGTTAGGACAATAAGCAACTACAAATTAAAGGATATATGTTTGCAAAAGAATGAATAAACAAATTAAATCACATTCTGATTGTCTCATATTAGGTGTGTTGAAGTGAAGATATGAATAAGTGACCCACAACTATGTTTGTGTGAAGATCATCTTAGGTGGGTGAGTGAGTTTTGGTTGAGATTTTTTGTTCAAGTTTTGGTTGTTTGTGTGAACCGAAGTTAAAAATTGGAACCGAAGAGATGAAGTGAACTGAGGACCATATGTTGAACCGAACACTAAGGACTGAAAGTAAAGAAAAAAGGTTCTCATCTTTAAAGTGGATTTCGATAAAGCATTTGATTCATTAAATTGAAACTTCTTAATTTCCATTAGGAAGCAAATGAACTGTAGGGATAAATGGTTCAAATTGATAATGGGTTGTTTATCTTCTGGGAGAGATTCAATAATCGTAATGACCCGTCTACAAATGAATTCAACATAAAAACGGGAGTTAGACAAGGTGACCCTATTCACCTCTTTAGACTCTTATTTTCATCACTGCTATAAATACATTGAGTGTTTGTTTGAAGACGGGTTGTGATGCACACATTTTTACAAGAAATGAACTTCCTTTAGATGGCCCAACACTTTCACATCTAATGTATGCCGGTGACGTAATGCTTATTGGTGAATGGTGCCTGCTTAGTATCTTGAACCTCAAAATATTTATAACATCCGAAATTTTGAAGAGAAATTGTTGAGAATAACCCTATTTCAAGATGAACTCGTCGATTTGGAGGACCCAACTCGACGTGTTTAAGATGGAAGAATCGTGGGGATTTAATGAACCAACTCGGCGAGTTGAGGAGCCTCAACTCGGCGAGTTGGCAGCTAGGAAGGAAACACTAATTTTTAGGGTCCTGCACCCTATTTAAAGGCCTTAAGTCTTTTTTCTGGCCTCCTTACCAGCCTCCATTGTTGTCCAAAACCCTAAATCGAGTTGTCGCCTCCATTGTCGAACATTTGAGCCTTAGATGAGGTTTGATGGTTATTTTGTGCATTATGAAGGAGTTAGAGGATCTTGAAGTTCTAAGCTTGGAGAAGGAAGCCTTGGATCCCGAATATCTACCCATTTTGCAAGGAGTTCGAGGTATCAAGTTCTTATCTTGATGGCTAGATGCTTAGATCTCTCTTTTGGGTTAATTTGTTATGCTTTAACCATGGGTTGATTGAATGTTTGGATTAGGACGTACCAAAACATTATTCTTTCAGATTTGGGGTTGTCATGGACTCTTTTGGCATAAAGGTGTCAACTTTATGGATTTAAGGACTTCTTGTGTGCATTAAGTCCCTTATTAAGCCCTTTCTTAAGCTTTTGAGCTTCTCCTAGGCATGCATGAATGCAGTGTTGCAGAAATCGCCCTTGGCGGCCGATTAATTGCTTGGCGGCCTTGAACC